CCGCCGTTCATGTGGAACAGATTGCCTGCCACATCTGCGCGCGGTTGACCCAGTGCGAACACAACACGAATACGACCTGGTAGATTGCGAGTTGCCTCGCGAATGCGACTTCTCTCCTCGAAGTGGTATGACGCGGACCGGAAGATAACCACTAGGTCGTAGACGTCCTTCGAGGCTTGGTCGTCAGGTGCACAGGCCGTACGACTGGTGCGAATGAGTTTGATGTTAGGATTGTTGATTGGGGCCTGTTGTAAACAAACGAAGAAATCATACCTATTTCAATCGGTCCTTGAGTGCACACTGCTCATTCTTGCTACGCTCAGTCCTGCCTGATTCGGTCGAAAATTAAATATTTCTAGCATGATATTCACAAAACACCAAGATTACGAGCATATTTCAAATGATTTTGGAGAGAATCGTTAAGGAACACATATACATCGGCCCCTACAGGCATGCTCGGATTTCGCGCCACTGTGAAGTAGTCACGTTTATAAGTACTTAAGCATGTCCATGTATAAAAAAAACAGTCTCCGTAATCAATCCCAGTGTGCACGTAATTCCGCAACACTTTCAACGTATCACACAAACAGTCTGCAACTTACATATGATGCCGGTTTACCGTGGGTGATGGCAGCCAGGGTGTCGGTGAGGTTGATGGCCAACGGATACATGTCGTATCCACCCTCACCACCCTCCAACTTGTGACCCTCCAACTCGAACCACCGAAGCAGAGCTGATTCCTCGTCACTGCGTTCGTAGTCCTTATCTAGCAACTTTAAGCGCTGGTGCAACCTCGTCTCCATGGGCTCATCCGAGGACTTCACTCGCACACACAACGTCAGGTCGTACGAGGAATCCGCACACGTGAGATCCTCCGGAACGCGCACTGGTGGCCACCGGTACACGCGACCACCACGAGCCCACCGACACGAAGAATTGGTCCCATCGAAATCGGGAGTGTGATAATGCACCGCATGATGACCACAAGAGACACATGAATTGGGATAGGTGACGGCATCCTGATTTGATTTGTTCCATAACATGAAGAGGATAAATACGCCAAATGCAGCGCAAATAGTTAAATACGGTTTGATCCTTCTTGTCGAAATCATGCTAATTGTTGTGATTCTAGTTTGATGTATTTTGTCAGTCAACGCATCGGTCTACTTAATATGACGTGCCTCGTTCGATTAACCAATCGCAGTAGGCTATGACATGTATGCTTCATCGCTTTATGATTAGTTGAAACAAACGTCAGCATCTAATTGAAATCGGAAGCAAATTAAGATACATCTTGGTTACCGTCCAAAGTGTACATGGTAAAAGTGAGGAGAGATATGCATGATCTTGTGAAGAGTACTGCAAAATGCGCAATTCTCCTCAAAATTTCCGCCTGTTCATCTGACCTGAATGCCTAAATTGTTTCGTTTCGAATGCAAAGCGGTGGGCCCCATTCAACCCACCAATCACAAAACGCAGTATCCTCATTGGCTAATTCATTAACGTTGTCATTTGTTAAACTAAGTGACGGCATCGAGTCACTCAAGTAAATCCTATTCTTAACCCACTGCCTTCATCGTGCATGTTTCGCTTTTGATCCAAACAGAAACAGTTCGATTATTTGTCTTTGCATGGTTGTTGGCGTTAGCAACCGGTGTGTCGAGTAAACAAGGTGCATGAAACACGCTAACCTTGTGACAGAATCCACCGCAAACACTAGAAAAACACCTCATGCTTCTGCATGGTTCTGCCTCATTGCTCATCAGCCATCTAACAGACACGAGGTTTGGACTCATGCTTCGGTCGCATGACACCGTTGTGATGGTTGTTTGAATGTTTCTGTTTTTGGAATGTCTAAATACGAACGCACTTAATAACTGCGACCAATGCTGTGCCTTTGGAGTTCCGACACACACTGCCGTTAATTTGGATCACGCAAGCAGCTCATCCGATCCGGTGTCTGAGTGCATTTTAATTGCCGTGTTGTTGGAGATCATCTGCCAACCAGAGACAGGAATAAATGAAAGGAACCTACATAACCAACAGCGAATGAAAGAGTGGATGGTTGCTGCATGATGGTTCTAAACTCTGTAGTGTCAACTCAGCCTGTCTTCGCATATCAAGAGTCGGTGGGCCTATTTCCTGTTATGTGCGTTTTGTAAAGTCAAGAACACAACTGCAACGAACATTTTTCACACTACCACTTCGTGACAGCCAGTCAGTTAGTCTGCCATTTGTCCTCGTTTTCTAGCGTATTCTAGGATTATGCAGTGCAGTTATCCTCAGTAGCAGCATTTCGTTCGTTCGAAATAGCAGTGGATGCCTTTTCAAAAAAACTAGAGATCGTGGATGACTGTACACGTAGTCTACGTGAAATCGACACCTGGGCAAAGTGCCAGGTAGAACGATGGTGCAGTGTGAGGCATTTCGGCTCCCCTCAACCTTCCGATTAGCCCGAGAGTTGATTTGTGAAAAATTGAGCAACCATTATTCTTGTTGTTTCCTCAATGTACTCGTGAATAGCTTTGCTGATGAAAGTGGGTATCAAATGTTCTATACATTGTCGACCATTATTCTGATTAGCCAATCAGTGTACTTGTGAATATCATTGGTGATGAAAGTAAGTACCAAATGATACGAACATTGTCGATCAAATCAACAAACCAGTTAATCGACGATGAAAGCGTGAAGGCAACTTTTACGGCCAATATACCTGTGTTCGCTAGACCATTCCTAGTTTGGAAATAAAATTATTTTAAAAGAACCTAGTCATTGGTTTACTTGTGCAACTGAACTTGCTGTATTTTGAGAGCTCATGGTGCGGCGTTAATTTAGCAGAAATCTACACCTTTGCCTTTCATGTTTGGTCGATTGACCACACCCATGTTGGTGGTTTGAGAGACGTGTTTATTGCACCCCAAAGAATTCGTCAACACGAAGTGACTTGGATTAAGACCACTTGACTGTGCTGCAGAGCCACTCTTCTGCACCTAAGGTAATGTTTGGGAAATGCACGTAGTTTTTTTGACCAGAATGCTTGCGTTAGACATCGGCAATAAGGCTGACCAATGAAAACATGAACACAATTTTCTCAATTTCGACAATTCCTGCCCGGTTTAGCACCGCGTCTTTTAACCTCTGTTAGTTCGTTTTGTCAATTTGTTCCGCATTTTATTTCCAATTTTTTTGACGAATAGTGTCAATTATGAAATGAGAGTTTATTACTAAATCTTCCACCATGGCCGAGATTATGTAGCCCACTTCGGGGCTGCATGTGTGGCCAAGGATATAGCACTGTGTGTGTTGGTTAGCTTATCAAGTTTCTCACGGTAGTGATTAACCACACGACTAAAAAACCCATGTCAACATCTGCTTCGTTGTCAACTGACTGCCATCGGAGGTTGCAGGGATGTTGGGAAAAGGTCGCTTCGGACGAGGACGTGAAAACTTGCGACTACCGTCCCACCATGGACACCAAAACCGTAAAATGACTGCTTGCAACACTTACTGCGTTACGGCTGCTCCTGTCCATTTTCTTCTTCACAACCACTTCGTCACCAAGTAACCATGCTGGAGTTCCTCTCCTGACTTTCACTTCAGAGAATCATGCCTTCAGGTAACTTGTTCTGCTGGATGTGGTTCCACGGGTCTGCTCTAGCAGATTGCAAATCATCACACTCTCAACAAGAAATACTTGAGGAATCTTGAGTTGGCACAAGGTGTGTGCGTGTGTGTGTGGTGGAATCGGCAATTGAGCACTGGAACTGAATTCACCATTCTCCTGACATATTCGCTTGCGCATATTTCTCACACGACAGGGTCGACAAAGAGACGCAGTAAGAACTGCTGCTGACTTGTGCAATCAACTAATCGATCGTCTACATCACCTCTGATGTTTGCAACCTCCTCTGCGTAAACACAATCACAGTCTCAGACCATATTACCAACACAATAGACATTTATGAGGAGCATTTATGTAGTCCGCCAACATTGCGACTTTAAAATCGCCTTTAGGTGAGTCACCTCAATGAGATCGTGCTGTAGGAAAGTATGATTATTTAAATCCACTCACCCACTCGTCGCATTCTTATTCACAATGACCAACGTTTCACGAAGCTCTTTCGATCGATCATGCAAAGTTGACTGCTCAAGCACCCCTGTGTGCGTTCCATCACCACACTTCCCGTTTCATTTAGCCGTCTATTTGGCCATTAACAGGCTCATCAGTCAGCAGTGGTCAACAATCACAACTAGCTTGGGGTTTGTAGTAAACGATGGTCTCCACCATCACTGGTCTTCATGATTGTCGTGGGTATCAGTGTAACGTTATGGAGCCAATACAACGCAGAAGCGGGTTCGGTGTGGTTGAAAGACACATGCAGGCGCCTTCAAATGATTACGAGCACAAATGCAGTTGCAGACTGTATTTGTGTCTACTGACTTTGGTACTAATAGAGCTGTATAAAGACGTCTTTGTTAAAACAAAACATGGAAGTAATTAGGTGCATTCTGATGAACAGGACTGGTAGCCACGTGTGAAACTGTGTGGATATTCAGCAGTTGATCTAAGCCAGTAGTCGGCACTCCCAAATCTGACTTAAAATCTGCAATCACTCGTAATTAGCAGGTCATTTCATTCCAGTGTGATACACAGGGCATCACCGGCTTAAACACACGCACACACAAGCACACCCAAAGCAATCTTTAACAAAGCTACTTTGATCGAAGTCATTAGACAGTCGTGAAAGCAGCATCAACTCCACGGACACCAATCTCTACTGTCACTTATACATCCTCGCCCGCAAACCCCAGAATGTGCAGTCACTCATTTCTCCCACACCTTGATCGTGTCCATTTTTTGATGTTGAAGAATTTCACTGGCCTTCATCATTGTAGATAAATCATATGACCGGTTTTGAAACCCACACAGCAAAGTAGGTTGATAGAACAACAGCTATTTAAAACGAATGGTGAGCGAGGACACTCTTGTTACCGAAACTTTAACGGCAGAGTGCAGTTTCTTGGGAAATTGTAACAGGCACATATACACACACAATATGGCCAAGGGTGAAGACGAGATGGGAAGAGGATTGGCACTACCCGATTTCACCATAGCTGTTGACATTCAAATGGGAACACCAAGGACGCGAATTTAACAAGCATATGTGGATATTCCTACTGCCGGAGCATGTAACAGCTGTGAAGCAGAAGAGGGTCATATTGTTTCACACTGAGGCGATGTGGGCGTTCAACTCAACCTGCCACACCCACTGCTGATCTCAGTTTGCCATCAAGAACTTTCATTGGACATTGCGTTCACACATCCAATTGAGAGTTTTCACATTTCGGTGGTTCAACTAATGGATCAAATCTGAACAAGTCGATCAGAAACACTTGCTGAGTTGAAGAGAATGAGGAGGGGGTTGAGGATAAAATCACATGATTTATATTTGAGCAATTGACAATCCACGTACGCCTTCGAATTTGCTCTAGGTGCAACCCATTAACCAAATTTGGTTATTTTTAAAGGCCTAAGGTGCATGAATGAATCTGCAGTTACCGCCTAACCAAGCTTGTCGTCGAGTCTGGTGACAAGAGTGGAGTCCTGGAACCAACATGACGGTTCTGGATCCACTCTGAGTGCAACTTTTAACAATGAACAGCATGACTAGCATGCAACTAATTGACTATTATTAAGGCATCTCATTCATAAGTTACCAACACTGGCTAATCGACGATGCCAGATTTAGTTTAGCTCGTAAAAGCGTAAGAGGAGGGTTGGCATTTGGAAGTGCTGTGACGATTAAATCACCACCAATGTGACGAGTCTCACGTTTAATTTTACGAAATTGTAATCGTGTGTAATGAGATTTAGCCACAAATGCTGAATTCTATCCAAGTACCACGTAGAAGGCAACGTCTCGTTGCTCTAATCAACGTGATTTCTAGTCGTCAACCGGCTACAATGGCGAATGCTGCGAAGTGATTCTAACCCCACGTTTTCTGCAAATATTGCACGCATATGCTGCTTAAAACAATGGAC